ATAGATAGATAGATAGATAGATATATCTATCTATCTATCTATCTATCTATCTATCTATCTATCTATCTATCTATCTATCTATCTATCTATCTATCTATCTATCTATCTATCTATCTATCTATCTATCTATCTATCTATCTATCTATCTATCTATCTATCTATCTATCTATCCATATTTGTCTGCCTGCCTCCCTCAGAGAAACATCCCAATAAATAAGTTTAATCCTCTCATCAGGACCGCGGCCCGTGGCCTACGGTGTAAATTTAATTTCTGAGTGACGTGCGTGTGCGTGTGCACGTGTAAACCATGGCAGTAAAAACAAGAGGACTTTGATCAAGAGTTATGGATTCATGAGTATTTATGAGAATGTGTTGATTTAAAATGTGCAGAGAAAAGAATGAGCGCGCATGGATGTTCTTATAAAATAAAATATTTTGTAGCTGTAAATGATCACGCGCATGTCTAAAAGTGATTCATTCATTAAAGAAAAGTCAAATATGTTCAACTTGTTTTCATTTCTGTACATTGAACTAATATTTGTCATTTGGCTTGGGTTAGTGAGTCACGTGACTCCAAACTTTGACTGAAGCGTCAAACAGTGTTTAGTGTCGCAGAGGTCCACGAGCGCTTCTCAGAACGTTTCCTCTCACACGTGGGGGGGTTAAAAAGGCGCAGCGCACCTCAGCGCCATCATTTGAAGCTCCAGCTCTAAACGAGCGCACGCTCTTGTTTAAATAAAACCCAGAGAGCAGAGCGCGCGCGGACACGTTTTTTTTTTTTTTTTCCTCCCTTGTGGAGGCGTGGATGTGTCTCGCTCACATCTGACATGCTCGTGGCAGTAGTAGGTTCTCCTGGAGGCAGATAACACCACCCGCCTCAGCCCCGACCAGAAGCTCCTTCGGTGCGTCACATCTCTGAACTTTAGAGGGAGGGCGGCTGTGGACAGGGTTTTTGTGAGGGGGGGTGTGGGGGTGGGGGGTGTTCTTGGAATGAGTCAGAGCTGTTTGCAGTAGCCGCGGAAATACCTCGGAGGGACGCGCCGGTGGCGGAATGTGAGAAACTCCATTTTCAGCGCTCCGTGCGCATTTCTCTGTGCGCGGCTGGACGGCCAGGAGGAGAAGGAGGCGGCGGTGGAGGGGGCTCGATCCCTTGCCTATGGACGACTGCGGCCCCCTCTCTCCAAAGGCAAATGCTTTCAGTATTGCCTCTCTGATCGCGGCTGCGGAGCGAGCAGGAAGCGCAGCGTTTGACAAACAGCGCACCGGCCCGGACAAGCCAGACGCGCACGGCAGCTCCTTTAAAATGCACTACAGCACTGTCACCCGGGAAATGGAAGGTAACTCTGTTTGTTCATGCCCGTAGAGCTGTTGTAGCATGCGGAACAACTCACCAGTGACAAAACACCCCCGCGTGCGCACCGCTTTCATTTTTTAACTCTTTGTTGTGGATTAAATGAGAGACTTTAAAATCCAAACGCACCGAGAGGAGACTGCAGCTGGGAAAAAAATAAAATAAAAAAAAGTTTCCAAATTCAACTAACTCCACGCTCTCAAGGCGTCACGAGTCCACGTGAAGCGGGAAGGAGGAGAAGGGTTCACGCGGGTGCGCAACGGTGGAAAACAGAAAAGGCGCTCGTGCAGCTCGGAGAAGCTGCTGCTCCATCAGAGTCACCTGCAGCTTGTTTGTTCATGCAAATCAGTGTTTAGCGTGCACACTGTGCAGGCCAGATCCTCTATTGTTTGGTCGCAGGAGGCGTGTGTGTGTGTGTGGGAGTGGAGGTGTGTATGTGTGTGTGTGTGTGTGGGGTGGGGGG